TGTAAATGAAGACCAGGTCCTTTTGTTTCGATTGCGATTGTATTTAGTTTTGATTTTATTTAGTGTTCTATTGTTTGTTGTTGTTATTGTAGTAATGTTTATTATTGCATTTATGCCTTAGTTGTAAGTTTGGCTTCCTGTCCAGGGATTGTACTGCCCGGGACGTGCAGTCCTTGTGAAGGGGAAAATGTTATGGATTTGGCATTTAAATAGCTCATGTTGGTAGAATTATAAATAAAATTGCTTTATTCCCCATGCAGTGCAGCATGTGATGAATATTGGGAGAAAGCTAAGCCTGAAAATTAAAAATACAAGATCATGTGCATTTAACATTTAATAAATAAGTATCTCTTTTTAATTTTGAGAAAATACCTGAAAATTCTCACACATTTTAAAAAAGCTTATATAAGCGGCATGAAAACCTCTCAATTAGTTAGTTGGGTGTTGTTTTAAGAGTTTGTTTAGAAAACTGCTTTTGTTGTCTGTAGTGAATTCGCGGATTAGCTTTCTCTAGCTCTTTTGTTAAGTTCTGTTGAATGTTTGAGTAGTTAAAAGAAAACTACTGTGAGATATTGTACGAGGGCCATCCAGGAAGTAGATTACGTTTCCGTCTGTGTCCGCTAGGGGCGGGGCTAGCGCGGCCATCTTGGGGTCAGAGCGTTGCGCAGCTCAGTCTGCATCTAGCCGTGCTAGTGAGAGGTTCGTGCTGTGCTCCGTTCAGATACTGTGACGGTTTGAAATGTCTGCGTTAATTGAAAATCCCGCGAGCTGCGAGGTGCGCTCAGTAATAAGGTTTCTGACTGCAAAAAACTGTAAACCGATAGAAATCTATCGGCAGCTTCGTGAAGTGTATGGGGACAACATTATCACTGAAGGTGGAGTGCGTCAGTGGGTCATAAGATTTCAAAATGGCCGAACCAATGTTCACGACAAAGATCGAAGTGGGAGACCCAGCATAGTGACCGCCGAACTTCTCAAAAAAGTCGATGCTAAAGTCCGTGAAAATCGAAATTTCACAATAACGGAACTTTCTTTGAGTTTTCCGCAAATTTCGCGAAGTTTGTTGCACGAAATCATCAGCGAAAAGCATGGTTACCACAAGTTTTGTGCAAGATGGATTCCAAAAATCTTGACAGAGGACCACAAAAATCAGCGAATGGCTGCAGCGTTGAACTTTTTGGACGCTTACCATAAGGATGGTGACTCTTTACTCGATCGCATCGTTACTGGTGACGAAACATGGGTGAAACATGTGAACTGTGAAACGGAATTGCAATCAATGCAGTGGGGGCACACAAGTTCTCCCCAAAAACCCAAGAAATGCATGCAAACAATGTCGGCAAGGAAGATGATGGCGACTGTTTTTTGGGACAGAAAAGGTGTAATTTTGGTGGACTTCCTGGAAAGAGGCACTACAATAAACTCTCAAAGGTATTGCCAAACTCTCCAAAAAACTCAGAAGAGCAATTCAAAACAAGCGCAGAGGAATGTTGAGCTCTAAGATCTTGTTGATTCACGACAACGCCCGGCCCCCCACGGCAAATGTCACTCTCGTAAAGTTCTTGAATCTTTTAAGTGGGAGTTGTTTCCTCATCCGCCGTACAGTCCCGACCTGGCACCGAGCGACTTCCACCTATTCCCAGCAATGAAGAAGTGGCTGGCTATGCAGCGTTTTGATGACGACGCACAGCTGCAAGAAGAGGTAACGAAGTGGTTGAAGGCGCAGGCGGCCGAATTTTTTGACGAAGGAATTTCCAAGCTCGTACATCGCTACGATAAATGCCTTAATTTGTATGGTGACTATGTAGAAAAGTAGTATTTGAGTGTGGCTTTCATCTGTATATAATAAAATTTGTTTCCTATACTTTGTTTATTTTTTTATTCCAAAACGTAATCTACTTTCTGGATAGCCCTCGTAATTATGTATGAATATCTGATGAAATTTAGGCATTTTATTTATTGTGATAGTAATAAATTTTGTTCATTCTTCATCGGACTTGTGCATTCAATTCATAACAAACCTGTATGCACGCAACAATACATTTCAAATCTTTTTTTTTTTTGTTATAGAACAAAATTGGTGTTAAAATCTAAACATAAGGAATATGTCATTAGGTTAGTCTTTAGTTTTCTGTACACAAAGAACTAACATAGAATAATGTACTTAATTTTTTTATCTATAATCTGTCTTTGAAATCAAGGATACTGTGGTAAGAAATAAGAGCAACACATTTAATTTAAAAGTGGCTGATAAGTAACTTGCATGTCAATTATTAAATAATTGTTCAAATGTTTTTTGCTCTTTATTCTGACATCCCCACTGAAATTCACGTAACTAAGAATCGAGTAAAGTACTTGCTCATATTTATACAGAAAAATGCTTAGTTCTGTAATGGAAAATATTCTGTATTTCTAACATTGTAGAATATGATAATTGTAAAACAAATATTAGTTTCTTTGTATGCATTTCTGCATCAAAAACTAAAACTAGTGATGGAATCATATGGTTATATATTAACTTACAGACCTGTCTGTATTTCTTTTCTTTGTTTTATTATTTAATTAAAAAAATGCTTTTTATATATATATACTAATTTGCATTTAAAAAAATCACGTAGAAACAATTTCTAAAACTTTCCAAGCTTAAATATCCTTTCAAGCTGAGTGTTAATATTATTTAATAACAAACATTTAATTTGATGATTTGATACCAGTAAGTGTTATTCTTGTAATTTAATGATAAGGTTTCTAAGGTATTAGATTATCATTGAAAGTTTCAGAATAACTTTTTTCAGTACTTGCGTATTAATCAACCACCTTGGCGTATTTTAGAAATCTTTTTTACCGAAGAAAAAGAATGAAGTCATTATTCAATTTAATTGCAAAAATTTACTTATTATTTATATAATTATTATTAAATACACATTTTGCATTCTAATTAGGTATTTATCATGAGACCACTCAATAAATCTTACAAGCTGATCTTTATCTCTTTTGTTGTGGCTGAAATCTCATAGCAGTCACTTTTAACAGATTCAAAACAATTGTTCTCTTTATTCATATAAAAATACTGTATTTCTGCCAAAATTTTACCTGAGTTCTTCCCTTGCTTGCAAATTACACAAGCACACATATTTAAATCAAGTTTAAAACAAAACATATCATTATTTGTCTTTAAAAATTGTTAGAACAGAATGAAAAGAATGCATACAAAAATGGCAACGTTCCCAAATTGGAGAACTATTATGAGTATGGCTACAGGAAAAACTGTTAAATGTATGGTTGCCAGAGTTTGACCCATTCTGAAAATTTGGCGACTTCTATGAAGAGTGGTTGCGTTATATGTAAGTATTGTTCTTTTGTTAAGATTATTATTTTCTGATATTTCTAAAGGTATTTAAAATAAAAATATGCATATGCAGTACAAGGTCTTTAATCTGGATGTCCGTAATCCGGAGTGATCTATAATCCGGACCTCAAAGCTACAAACTTTCTGCGCATGCATAGCGTTTACACATGCACATAATACATTTACGCATGCATGTTTAATGTATAACAGATGGTATAAGCTAGGCTAAAATTATCTATTTCAGTTAATGTTGCAGATTACGTTGTTTCTTAATCTTCTAATTGGATCTGGCTTATTATTTTTTGCTGACTGTTAGAGCAATTTTATAAAAGGTAAGCTTGAACTTTCGATTATGTCAAAAAGAGTTTCCGATTCTGGAGCTGCCAACAAAGCAAAAGCATGTTTCGATGTCCATCAAGCAAAAAGTGGAATTGCTGCAAAAAATGGATAAAGGCATGAAGAAAGTGACAGAGAGGTTAGTGAAAACGAAAAAATTTCGATTGATAAGTTAGTCAGTATTTTCGGCACAGCAATTACAGGACTTGAACAGCGGGACTTTGTAACTGAACAAGAAATTGTGTCTGTTTATAGAATTAAAGAGAAAGTATTAGCACATACAACAAAGTAACTTGAACAACTTACATTGAAAGAAATGTTTAATAAAGTAAACATATAAATATAATTTTTTTTTTTTTTTTTTTTTTTTTGTAAAATTTTGATACCCTTTAGATCACAATTGCTCTTTATTTCATAAATTACGGTTTCATATTTTTAATTTTATAATTTCTGCATGCCATATTACCAGATTTAAATTGATGATCTATAATCCAGAAAAACCCCTAATCCGAAATCACCGAAGTCCCGACGAGTCTGGATTAAAGACTTTATACTGTATAAGTGATCACATTTGGAGTTTGGATCTTTTCTGCCATCATAAGACAACATGGCATTAAATTTAATTTTGTCTAAACATAAAAAATGTCATTTAGGTTAGCTATTTCAGGAAATAATAAAATAATATGTAAGTACCTAGAGAAATCAGTTGTGTAGGTATTTATATATTACCTTCTTGACTATGAAACTGCTTCTAAGCAGCATAATTTAGCTCCGTTTATGGGTAAACATGACGTAGCAATGTGCTTATAACGTGTGCTTTTATTTGATGTAACACTGATTCATTATCAATAAGTCAACGTTTGTTTACATGAAAAAGACTATAAATTAACTATTATTGCTGTACATTTTCCTTGGATTTTGAAAAAGAAAGTGATTAGAATTTGGAACCTGCCTTTTACAGAACAGCAAGTAGTGATTACTTTCAAAGTTATTGGATCTTACCATAAAAGAGGTGTGTATTAATAGACACAGTGTGGTACTTTATTTGAAAATCGTTAAACAATGGCAGTGCAAGAGTTTGAACTGAACTTTAGTTAGTTTTCTTATAATAGTTTTTGTTTATTCATTTGCAAGCTATTCTCTAGATTCTGAAAATATTAATGTGCATGCTATATGCATAATTTTTTTATATTTGTAAATATATTAATTTAGATTAAATATTTTTTATCATATTTGTGATATTTTATAAGATAAATATCATATTTGTGATATTTTTAGTTGAAATGTCCTATATAATTTAAATTTTTTCCTCTAGTTATGTACAAGAAGCAATGTGCATTTTTAGCTTTACTGAAGTTTGATGCTTTATTTGTGGTATGTATATTTGTGAAATTCTTATTCAATTATTAATGTCCCAAAATTTCATTACATTATTAAATGTATTGTAACATATTTTGCAGTATTTAACAAAATAACAGATGATCTTAGTAAAACATAAAATTTATTTTTAGTTTACAGAGATAGATAATTTGAATACAGTCTTTTAGTTACAAATTTTTCATGTGTCTCCTAGCTGGTAAAACTGCAGAATTTTCATTTTAAACAATTTCTTACATTGTTGAGCAATGGTTACATCATACAAATATGGCATTACCACTTCAATAATAAATATATTTATTTGTTAAATAACAAAATATTACAACCTCTCTTTCCCTCCAGGCAAACTTTAATTTATATTTTTATAAATTAAAGTTTACAATTTTTTTTCAAAACAACAATATCAACAAAATGCAGAATTAAAAGTCCAACAAGTAACATACACTGAGGAAGAGAGGAAAGAACAAAATATTTTTTTTTTTTATCTATATAGAGAAACAAATTATTTAATCAGGCCAGGGAGTACAATTTAATGCGTCTACATTTTTATGGTTTTTACCACTTCGATGAAAGACAGTGTAATTGTAGGATTGTAATTCTAGTGTCGATCTCATAAGTCATGGATTTAGACTCGCATTATTTTTGAGCCAAACTAGGGGATTATGATCGGTCATCATGAGGAATTTAGTATACCTGTCTACATAACATTACATTTTCTTTAGAGCAAAAATCATGGTGGTGCATTCCTTTTCTGTGGTAGAGTACTTTGTTTCAGTTTCTGTAAACTTCTTACTGAGGTGTAATACTGGATGTTCATTGCGTTGTTCATCTTTCTAAGCTAAAATGACATCCATATCAGAGTTTGAAGCATCAGTTTGGCAAAATAAATGCATTATTGAAATCAGGTGAGTGTAACAGAGGCTTTTGCAGTAGTTTTACTTCTTCAACAACTTGCTCTTGTCTGTTTAGTTTCTTTAAAAACTTCTCCTTGACTTGTATCTCAACTGCAGAACTTGGCAATTCGTCTAGAACTTTTAACTGAAAATCGTTTAATTTTGTCAGTTTTTTCTTGTCAGATTGCTGCTTGTGAGATGAACTTTTGTTCTTATCTGTTACTTGCATTCTCAGTGAATATGGCAACTTGAGTATCCTTTATCATGTTTGTGCCTCTTTGCCAAGTTTTCTGACATGTGCTTAGATTCTGAACGTATTTTTAATTTCTTAGCTTTAGAAGCAACTTCACGAGTTCTTTTATCAGATGTTCTTTGATCTGCTGTTAACAAACTGTCAAACACATCTTTGCTTTTTGGAGAAGAAAAGAACTGGGGAACTTGTAGGGGAATGATCACACACATTATCCATAGAAGATGAATCACCAGGTGAGTAAGGTGAGTTAACTTCCATATCAATTACTTGAATTTTCATACCAGGAGATGAATGCTTAGACTGTCTGTCAGATATCTGTGAAGCATTGATAGAAGCTTGACTATTAGAAAGGTGAGTATTGACCAAATTACCCTGAGTTTTAGCACTGTTATTTGTTTGGATCTGCATCATTCTTCTTTTTTCCTCATTTTGGTGTCTACTTTGATCTTCTTCACGAGATCGTTTTACTTGAGGTCATGTTAAAACACCATTTATTTTTTATAAATTTAAGAATGATTTATCTTTGAACAATTGGGCAGTTTTGTTACCCAATACATATCTGCCGGAATCATTTGTAACAACTGCTGCCTTTGTCTTTATATGACCAAGTTCACAATTAATTTCAACTTCCACTAACAGTAGATACACTAAGTGATCATTTAAAAGATATTGTACTCAGACGTGTTCTCCAGTCATTTTTGTGTTATCTATGTATTTTCGAGAAATAACATCTACTGTGGCTCCTGTGTCTCGAAGAATAGGCATTTCATACCCATTAACTAAACCATTAATTGTGTATGTCTCTAACAAACCATCATTCGAAGATATCCAATTTACCCTTTCATTTGGTTTTAAGTGAGGGCACTGAAGCTTAAAATGATCGTGTGACCCACACTCGAAACAACATGGTCGATATCTTTTGTCATATAAATTTTCTTGGTTCTTGTTTTGAAACTGACTTCTTTGTCGGTGATCTTTCTGATATTTTGAATCATCCCATTTATCAGAATGCTTAAAATGAGGTGGTTGCTCTATTTTTTTCACAAAATTATCATAACGATGTTTAATTTTTCCTTTGTTAATTTCTCAGTCTCAGTTCCTTTGTTAATTTTCTCAGTCTGATATGCAGAAAACTTTGGCCACAAACTCGGCAATTGGTACTAGCAAACTTGTTCTCAAAATTTCGGCAACGTTCTGGAAATAGGAGACCAGCACCATCGAAATTGATAATTGTGCTCCTAATTTCCAGTTTCTTGGTGGGACCTCCAATTTTATAAGACTCTAACGTATTTTGCAGTATTTAATAAAATAACCGATGATCTTCTTAGTAAAACATAAAATTTATTTTTAGTTTACAGAGATAGATAATTTGAATACAGTCTTTTAGTTACAAAGTTTTCATGCGTCTCCTAGCTGGTAAAACTTCAGATTTATCATTTTAAACAATTTCTTACGTTGCTGAGCAATGGTTACATCATACAAAATAGCATTGCTACTGCAATAATAAATATAGTTATTTGTTAAATAACAAAATATTACAGTATGCATGTTTTGCTACAAAATTAGATAGAATGTCTGTTCAAAAAGTTTTTAGGCAAACGGCATTAGCCCAGAAGGGCTATTAATTTCGTTTTGACATTTTATGTTGGTTCACTATAAACAGAGAATCACTTTTTAAATTGTAGCCACCAAATATTAGAGTCTTGTATTATATTTAAAAAATTCAATAATGAAGAATCTGCATAAATGTATGTATGTTTCTTGCACTGTGATAAAACAATGGTACCTAGAGCCACCAAATTGTGAATAATGTACGCCTCCACCCAAATATTGGCATCTGGAAGCCCAAATAGATATACTCTTTTAAATATTTTGTGATATTGCTGGTGAATTGAATTTTAAGGTTTAAGTGCAAAGAACAAGGTATTTAATAAAGAAAGGTAACACACAAAATGTTAAAAAAAAAATGCCCCTTTGGGCGTAAAATAAAATATGAAGCTTTCAGTTTTTTTTTTTTTTTTTAAGAGTATGTTTTGTTGTTCATTCTTTCTTGGACACATTTAAAATATTTTTTCTCTAATTTTGGTTTCTTACAATACTTAGCAGTTAATTTCAATATGTCCAGTTTGATTATTAATTACCATGTGTATTTGAAAATAATTTTAATTCTAAAATGATGTAGAATTTTACAATCGAGTATTTTTGTAAATGAAATTGCAAAATGAGAAAAACATGTTATATACAATAACAACAAATAGTAAATAAATACAAGTAATTAGCATATCCATAAATTGCTTAACTTCTACTAGTTTTAATAGCCACATCTTCTAATAAATGAACAATTTCAATTTAAGGCTGTGTGCACTATATTGGTAACAGGTGAAATAACAAGTGATGAATAACATGAATGATAAATAACAGGTGAAATGTCAGCAGAAATCACAGGAATACATTGAAAAGGTATATATTCAATACCTGAATCACTTTTCATTTTACCAAGAAATGTGGTGATTCTTGAAATATGATTTGTTGGTTTGTTTTGATGTTAAAAAGACAGGAAAAAAACTTTACCATACATATTTTCTACAAAAATTGTATGTTCAGTTATTTGGGATGCAAAAATTTCTGCTGTAAATATCAGACATAGAACTTTTTCTTGATAGTACACTATGTTGATTTTAACATCCCCCTCTCTTCTTAATTTGTATTTCCCATTATAACTTAATCCTGCAACAATCCCTTACTGAAATTTTCTTTGCATTGATAGAACCAGGTCCATATATTTTTTTCTCTTCATTTTCAATTATAGACTTTTTTCATTGCAATAATTGAGGTGAACCCATGTTTCTTCAAGGTTCACAATATATTTATCTCCTATGCAATTTTTGTAGAGGTGGCTAAAAGCTGATGCACATTGTTTTTTTTTTTTTTTTTTTTTTTTTTTTTTTTTTTTTTTTTTTTTTAGCTTTTTTCTTTGTTAGTGGTCCGAATGGGCTTTTAGTTTCAAAACAGGATTTGGTTGCATATGACTTTGTATGCCTGAATCACTTTTCAAATTGTTGCCATGAAATATTATCTCCTTGTATTACTTTTAAAGAAATTATATAATAAAGAATCTACATGATTGTATGTATGTTTCTTGCACTGTGAAGAAATGACAGTACCTAGGGTCACCAAATTTTGAATAACATAGTCCTCCACCTGAACATGTGCACCTGGAAGCCCAAATTTTGAATTTTAAATTTTATATTTCATGTTTTTTTTTAAACTGCATTTAAGTTTTAATGCAATATTTGAAAGTGAGCAATGATAAAGCTTTAAAAATATATATTATATAAATAAAAATTAAAAAATTAATTTTTTTTTTTTTTATCCAGCCCAGGAGACTGTTTATCGGATATTTTTAAAATATGCCGTTTTTAAATATTTTGTGATTTTGCTTTTCAACTTAATTTATATCTGTGTGAAGAACTTAACACAATCATTAACAATAAGAAGACAAAAAAAAAAAAAAAGTTTTGCAAGCCATCTTACTGAGAAAGTGTATGTTGATATGGTAAACTAAGAAAAGATTGAAAAAATGGAAAAATATGTGCCAACACTGAACCATTTCATTGGGAATTCTAAACATATGCTGCCTGTAAATTTTTTGTAACTTTGCTGTTGAATTGTATCTGCCATAAGTGTAAAGAAAATTATTCTTAATAATAAAACTAAATAGTCAAATGGGTTAGCGTAAGTAAGTGCAACAGCAGACTGTGAACTCGGCGGAGAGCTTAGGAAAGAAAACCTTAACAAATCCTTTTGGGTGACCGTTAAAGTCTGAGCCTTTTCAGATTTTTTTTTCTATT